TGTTTTCAATTTTATTTGTCCCCCACGTTAGACATGCGGAGGAAGTTTAACAGTTTTCTGGTCACCGTCTGGAGAATTTTGGGATTTGTTATTTCAGGGACTGAATTGCTGAAGAAATTCATTTTAGACTGATTTTTTCATTGACGAATCGGTGAACTTCAAAAATTTCATAACATCTACATTTTCTTTGGCTTTAAAAAAATTATAATTAACAATTATTTTTGCACATAAATGAATAAATATTATACACGAGCAATATTCGGCTGAAAGATTATTGTTTCCCAGGATAAATTATCGTGGATAAATTTTAGTTTTCGAAATGTTTAATCTTCGGTTTTCCTGCGATAATCTTTTGTTCTCAATCCGAGGTTCCTGGGGGGTTGGGATAATTTATTCCGCGTGTAATTCCTCGACTACAATTTATACTACTTCCATCAACGCCATTCCTCCGGGTTCCCCTTCACCATAGAAATGAGAAAAAAGACGGTGTCTTTCATCTTCATGAACGCAGACATGAAACACCCCCGATGGAAATAAAATAAAAAGGTGAAGTCTCGAAGTATCAGGCGGGACGATAACTCGATGGAATATGAAAAAAAATTCCATGACGCAGGTGGAAATAACAAGTTTTCCCCAAATTCTCTTTTGAAAGTCAAATCGTAGTCTTTGTACCCCAAGTATTTCACCTCTTTTGAAATGTAATATTCAATACCGATATGGAAATTCGATTTCAATCGCGATGACGTGTCAATAGATATCTGTTCACTCCCCACAAAAAAAAATCTAACATCCCTTTTTTTCCATCAACCCAATTTACAATACAAAATACTGAAAAAGATGTTTAATTATCTCTTATAATTATTATCTAATCTTATAATTTTTTCTTCTTTATTTTGTTGTTTTATTATTATTTATTAATAATCTCCATTTGCTTCGGCGCTGGATGTATTTTATCGGGGCTTTAGTCAACGCGTGTACATATACAAATATTTATTGTCTCAATGATAAGACGACCTTTGTCCGATCTCGATTAAAACCTGAAAATCCATCGTAAAACGATTACCCGACGAATGTAAACGATGAATGATATATCCACGATATTTTTGGTATTGGGTCCCTAAGTTCGAATCGATCAAATCGGTTCATTTCGATTGTTAATAAAAAATTTACTTGTCTATCACCGAGGCATGTATAAAAAATGATAATCAATTGAAGTAATTACTCAAGAATTAATAATTAAAAGTCGATAGAACTTGGAGAATTGAAAACAGTCTTCAAAGGTAAAATATAATTTTCGGATTGAATCAGTTTTTTCAATTTCATTTTTTCTCTCCAATTATTTTGTTTTCTATTGAAGGAAGAGATGAGGGAGTGTAATTGTAAGAAATGAGACGGGGATAAAGAATGAAAAATGGGGATTCCCGGAAAAATACCGGATAACCACTAAACTCTGCGCACATCTATGAGCAATGTGACGAAAGCCATGAAGATTTTCTGTCTAATCTGCCGATAGGGCAGACCAGGAATTGTATTTACACGACAAACGATAGCGAAATCTACTATGGGTTTCCCACTGTTTTACCGACACGGTCCTCTCTTTGATCGAGGTGCGTTACTATATCGACCCAGAGAAAAGCTCGCAAGCTCATCCGATAAAAAAAATTAGCCCTCACCCTCTAAAAAGAATCACCACTGTCCGACTTATTGATACACTCATAAAATTATTTCTGCCGAGGACCCATCGACTTCAGTTAGCTACATATTTTTACAAAAAGCGATTTCTCCAATTAATATATGATTAATATTCATATATTAATCATTTTCAATCATTATGAGAATAATTATGGGAGAGATGTCCTTGAATGCTGATTGTTTCTATTAATTTTCTTTAAATACCGAATTCGCGAAGAATAAATTAAAGGAATTCTTCAATTCTTTCTCCACAGAAATAATATTTTTATGAAAGTACTTCAAAGTACATACTTTTCTCACGCTAATGCATTAAAGAAGTAGTAAATTAGGATAAGTGCATTTTTTTCTAGTCCACTTTATGTGCAATATCTCGGAATTGGAGGAACATAGCGAATTTTTAGTGTGAACCTTTTTTATAGAGAAAGATGAGAGCTACAGAAAAGGTATTCATGAAAATACCATTATCTTCGTTCAATTTCGAGAAATCAGGTGAAGAATGGGTTTCAATAAAATGCACTTTCGAGAGTTCATCATTTCGCGACAGAATTAATCCTCCAAATGGCACATCTCGCGGAATTCATTGCCGCAGAACTGAATCGTTCGGTCATTGTTAACGAATATCAATTGTTCTCATTTAACAACAGATCATAATGAGTTTGTTCATTCATCTGAGCATTCAGGAGGTCAAATGCATCAGTGGGCATATCATTCAAATAATTTCGGGAATATTGAGAATTGATTATTCAATGAGTTAATGGGCCGATGGATGTAATCAATTTCGTGTTGGAGATCGAAGGGAAATGTGGACATAGAATATTCAATCTTGATGTCACTGATGAGAAATCAATTAAAACCGCGGAATCTTGAGAGGTCACATGATCAAACCCGATTCATCATCATGTACTTTATTTATTTACACGATTATCCCCAGACGAGCCGTAAATATTTCATTGTGTCACGAAGACAGACTGAGTATTTTTCATATCGATCCTCTCGGCTATTTTCATCGCACGTTTTTTTTTTGTCTGCGTAGAAAGTTATTGAAAGTCAATAAACTTGCTGATGGGGTGTCATTACCTCAAACCTCCGGAGGTTGACATCAATTTCGTTGTTAGGTATGACAAGTTTTACTCACTCATTGGTGTTGAAATATTTCCGTTTCCGTTACTCACCTGAAATGAGGAAAAAAAACTGAATTACTCTGACGTTCGCACTAAAAAATATTTTTGCGGAAATTCCGGAAAATTTTGCGGGTTTATGAAAAAGATTATTATAATTTAAAATCTTCATGATTTATTTTCCTGCGTAATTTTTCATTGTAATTGCTGAAATATTATTTGCGCATAAAAATATTCCGTGTTAACTTGATTGTGAATTTATTTTGTGAACTCATTAGTGAGTCCATGAAAATTATTACTCGTGCATTTTTGCAATTAGAGATTCTTTTGTTCATTACAAGAGTAAAGAAACAAGAGTCTTCCCTTTCAACCGCATCAAGTGTCCAGTGATTATTGAAAAAGTTGTGAACAAGAGTTTTCCATACTCAAATTTCCTCGTCAATTTATGGAGCGATGAATTATTTAACGAACTTAAAAGGAAGGTCGATAACTATTATTAAAATCTCATCACCTCTTATATCCCGCAGGATGGAGTTTGCCCTCCAATTACAAAACTTAAATGAGAAAAAAATTGGATAACTCTCGGTAATACTGTAGTCAACTTCAACCCATCAATATTAATACGTTCAATTGCAAAATAAATTATCAAACACTTCCCACAAGTAATTAATTTTTAAAAAGTCATCTAACGTAAATAAATTATTTATCCAGAGAGAATGAATTCTGAATCCCTGATTCATAAAAAATTGTAGATTCTCGATAAAAAGGAAATTAAATCTCAAGTCGAGATCAAATCGAGAATTAATTAAACCGTCGAATCCAATTAATTCAGTCTATATATAAGATTTAATGATAATATATACAAGTAAAATTTATATATATTTCGCCTATAAAATTATGAATTCAACTTTATTCACGTCAAACTAGGAACTACGGAAATTGAATCAATATTTTTTTATCGCGTGAACAATAATGACTTCACCATCCCATCAGTTAAACGATTCCACATTCAGAGGAAATTTTCCGCCACCGGAAATGTCGGGAAATCGATGTCCGTGGTTTTGAGCGTTACCCTTGAAATAATTGTCCTTGATCTTTATTCAACGCCGGAAGCATTAACATGGCAGACAACCATTTGGTCATTCTACTCGCGTGTTCCACTTGCTGAGCACTTCAAGTCCTCGCGAAATAAAAAAGCCGCTCTACCTAAACACAGCAATAACTCTCGCAACCTGACAATTGATGCAATTTATATCCATCAAGGAAGGAAAATAAAAACCGCAGGAAACATCAACTCCGTCGGCCATTTATTTGAAAAATTCCGCGAGCCGTCAGCCGCGTAATGAAAAAAATGTAGCACGTCGCATTAATCAACAGCCGGATTCCCCGAAAAGTTGATGTCATAAATTTTTGCTATTCGATTTACCCCCGCTATCCAGAAAGTTACAAACGAGGGCAAAACTGCTTCTCTGCTCATCGACTCTCGGATGTACAGCCTGTGCAATCGATTGTACTGCACCATTGGATTTCGATACTGCAAGGCCCTGTCAACCCTCACTGATAATACGAACTACTTTCTCATGCACAATGAAACTGTCTCGCACACATCAGATTCACGAAAAAAAATGCAGTCACTGCAAAAGCGAGTTTTATCTGCCTAGATGCAGAAGCAGAGAACTGGAGAGGCTGTTGAGAACTATTCAAGAGGAACTGATAAACATTTTTTTCCAGGTTTTTCAAATTTCCATACCCCATCCCCGATCATACGGAAAAACATATATTTTTGGTGCATCCTATCATATCATATCATAGAGCAGATTCAATTTTTTTTTCGCGTATTTTTTTATTCAACTCCTAAAAAAATAACGAAAATAAACTACACTAAAATGGAATCAATGAATGAATGGAATCAATGAAATAAGAAAATGAAATAAAAAAATAAAGCTGTGGGAATGTTCAGCGTCTTACAGGAATTATAAATGAGAATTTCCCCATCGCACGCTGAGAGAGCGACGAGCGATAATCACGTCTAACAGCGGATTAAGGACTTCAACATAACCCCAAACAAGGCAGAATGAAAATTCCCCCTGAAATAATACGTACGCATCAATCTTACAATTTCTTTCAACACCAGACAGAATGGATGATGCATCCCGACCCGTAAACAACAAATTTTCCAAGATAATCGCTCTAGCTGTCACGGACAAGCTGTTTCCCCTGCGCTCTTACAATTAATTTAAAATACCAAATGAAAAAGTGAATTCACCCTAAGACGGGATAAGATTACCTTTCATCGAGTCTGAAAGAGCATCTTGATAAGTCACTCCAAGCGCTCATGCTCCTGCTGCGCCTCCTGAGGGAAGTTGCCATGAGTTTTGAGCTGCTGCGGCGTCGGGTCACTTCGAGATTCTCCGGCTCAAAGCAAACCCTGGATGTATGAACCCTCTGAGAATTTGGTGGTGTTGATGCCGGTGTGGCAGCACCTGGTGTTTGAAGATCTGCCAGCGGCTCATAATCCCATCCCTCTGACCCCATCTCCAAGAGCGGCTCGGAGGAGGCATTGGAGCCCCTCAGGGGATCCCGAGGCTTGCGATGATTGAACAGTGCGAATACCGTGCAATTTGAATCATTCAAACTCGTGACATTAACTTTTCCATCTTCTGTAGTCGTTGGCATTCAGGTATCAACCACCCACGTGTCAGCAGGTGGCTAGTACAAGCTTGTGAATCCACATATCTATTCCACTCACACCTAACACCCTTTGATCTTCTTCACCGGGGAAATAGAGCGAGAAGCTTTCTTCAGAAATGACCTACCCACTCTGCAAGCTTCTTTCATATTCAGGACGTATCATCTTACTCATCAACGCATCGCTCCACTAATGCTAATATTAATAGCCTGCCATTTATTTCGAAGAAGCATCTTGCCTTTATGGTCTCTCTTCATGGATCAACATCTCCGAAGACCTTCACACAATTATCAATAAGTCAACCATGTTTGTGGATATATTTGTGTAACAAGTTAAATTCAACCTTTTCTATCACAAGTTAACAGCAACTGTTATTTGACTAGTCAACAAGAAATGCTTTCCATATTCTTTCAAACAACTACTTAACAATTCTCTGTTGTCTCTTCTGTATCGGAGGTAAGTTTACCAAATTATTGTTCATGGAGTATATCTTTGGCGTATCGAACTTTATGTACTCGAACTTTGTGACTCGCATCAATCATTCACGTCTTTTGATACTTTATATTCCATGGATTTCCTTGGAGATGTCTCGTTATGTGTCAAACAGATGAGATTCATCTCTCGGTGGATTCTTTCAACATTCATTCGGTTCATGCAGCGCATACATTAAGTTCACCAGCTCTTTTATCACACTTAGCATAAACGAGGTAAGTGCTTTCACAATAGCGTGCTCACAACGAATTTCCGTTTGAACACCTAGTGTTTGTGTAGACTTCTACACATCTTTAATAAATTCATTATTCAATATTTCAACATTTCCAACAATTCTCACAACAATATAACACTGAGTCATGAAAAACGGCATTTCAACAGTTGTCCAACAAATTTCACCACTAATATTTATTTTTTCTTCGGATCGTTGCACTAAAGGTATCTGCCATCTGGCTGTATAATTTTGGTTTGAGTGTAGCTGTAAAGCTGGCCGTTAATCCCGTTGATTCTGACACGCGCAGATTTTCCCGGGTTATTCATGTAATTGTTTCAACGTGATAGGGTAACACGTCGTTGGGTGAGAACGAAACGAGCCAAGTTCTATCGACTGCGACTACAATTCTGTCTGAAGTCGAATACTCGACTTAGCCGCAACCCTCGGCCAAGGTCGACTAACACAGGAATAATCCAACTCGAGGGGTTGATTTCCATACACTCACGCAGTGAATATCAAGATAAGAGAGTAAACGTTTACAATTTTCCCATGTGATTAAGCTTTTTTCGCCCCTTACGCTTGACTATCACAACAGCTGATGAACTACTTGATGGATAACAAATTAAATAGCAATGCTTTACCGCATAATCGCGGTGTCCTGTTCGATTCATCACCATTCATAGAGTAATCCAATGGGTGGACACGCGTGATTGCACGTTGATCCATTCTCCACTTTCTTCAACACCCGATGATGTGCCAAACAGCGAACTCGTCCGAATTCGGTCGAGTCATGGGAGGATTGTGTTAATTCATTGCTCCATCACTGATTGTGATCAATCTTCATGTTCACTTGTATCATACAGTCACGATGGTGCGTGGATTCTTCGAGATTTATCGCGGGTTCACTGTTTATTATCGCGTAACTGAGGGTCTTTTGGATTTGACCAAGTTAGCTTGTTGGCAAGATCGATGGTTTATCTCATCAATCAGTGATGGTATCACGCGTGCAATATCTTTATTTTTCAGGGGCAAGTTTGCCCCAGAGCTCAGCTCCCCTACTGCGGTACATCGCAGTGGTTTTCCTCACAGAATCATCCCCTCCTACAGCACCCTCACAGCACCCGCCGCACCCATAGGTCTCTCTTGCTATTCCAAATGCCTCTGTCTTGGTTCAACTTGTTGGAGATGGTGTGCTTTTATCATTCTCCATCGTACTACCACGCATTCTCTATCGCTCTCGTACTACCGATAATTCTGCACACATACACGTGGCGCTGGCTTATGGTAGGGCGTCTGCGCCACTTTAGTTTTACCAGGAGAGCCCGCGTTACCACTTTCATGTCCCTTTGTAATGGTCATTATCATTCGAGATACCATGATTTTCTGGAGGGAACGTGGGTTGTGGACTGTTATGCTCATGAGGTTGATAAGTTTTTGGAGATGAAGTTTCCGGAATTAGGTTATGAGGGAAGGGGCAGCTTGGGGAAGGTAGTGCGGGGTAGATCCTAATCTTCCGTTGTGAGGTCGAATTGTCTTGTGGTCGTGGAGGTATATCCTTTGTCTGAGTCAGAAGACAAAATTGAAAGTTATCCCGGAAATCTCAAATGGCGGAACAAAGGACAGCTCATTTTCATGCTAGTGTTTTAATCTTCCGCGGAACTTTTCAATAGTCTGAGAATGTCCTGAACATCCCCGAATGGAGAACAAGATCAACTTTTTTATTACAATCATCAAATTTTCAATTGAAATTTCAATTCAGCCCGTGATGAACTATAATCTCTCTTTTTTATGGAAGTCCGGAGTAATTCCAACTGTTTGGAATAAAAACACTGCAGGCTTGATCCAACATTAACGTGTTTGTTGTGAAAATAATTCTCGTTGGTCAATTTTAATCCTCCCGTTAAATTGTTGAACGACGTGATGAATTTGATGATGAAATACAAATGAGCATCGATTTTTACAAGTAGATGTAGTGAATAATGTGAGCGTGCGCAGAGTTCTATATTGCAGAAGCGGGAAATTTCGTGGTAGTTGTGGCCACGTGGTCTTATTCGGAGATTTCTTTTTTACCGATGGAAAACGATCAATTTTCTTTATGAACTCGGACATTTTTCATCCTGTGGATTACTATAAGTATAAATTTCACCGTCAACTTGAATGCTACTATTTCTTTGAAAGAGAATAATATCTTTGGGCAATCCTTTCGTGAAAATCTATGCAGACGGGAAATTTCCATTTTCTTCAATTTTTTTTCCGGCGGTTTTTGTTGTGCATAAAAATATACAGAATTGATCAACGAAAAAAAAACGTTTTACGATTCCTCATCATTCGACAAATTCGTCAAAGAAATAGAATAGAAATGCAATAATAGAAAAGTTATGGAAGATTTTCTTTAGCAACTCTAGAATTGTTTATATTTTTTTTCTCTTTTGAGAATTGCGCGATGTGCATTCGCGAGTTTATTATCGAAATGTGCACTTTCGCTTTGAAAAGAAAGTCCATGATGTAAATAAAGGAAGAAAGGAAAATTTGATCCTTTCGCGAGGGATGAGAAGTTTCAGGGTAATAAATTTATTTTGCAACATTGAATGAACGTGTCCTGGGAGAGCTCTGATAAAAAGCTTTGCAAAATGTATACAGCAGCATTAAAATATATATGGGGCATAATTCTTTACGGAGCGTGCAATGGACTGAACTAAGATAAGGTCGGCGTGAAAAATTGATAAAACTCCTACTCCATAAAATTATAACTCGGGGAATAATTATAATTTGCGGAAATTTATGAAAGTGCAAATAAATAAAAACTTCCGTCTTTCCTTATTTTCCCTTTTTTATTTATTTTTATTTTGTATGTTTTTAAAGTGGTTATTATCATTATGGAATTATAAATTTATTTATGGAAAAGATCGATTTTTCAAAGCCTCTGGGAGTTATTTGAGTGAAAATTCATGTCGACGCGGGGAATAATTTAGAGAATTTCTCCCCGTGTCTGACCCTCGCACTCTTTTAGAGACTAGGGTAATAAAGAAGTGAAGAATTTATGCGAAAATACTGTAGACCACAGCCTCAGGAAACAGCTGTTTTTTTTTTATTTCCGGTGTTCGTGCTCCAATAATCAATACTGGATTAATTATCAATTAATAACTGTCTATTACGTTTTCTCTGTTTTACGAGGTGGAATTCGGTGATCGTGTTATCGACATTTGGGGGCCTTGATTGGGTATGAAAAAGTAATTGTGTTTTACGTTGATGAAGGAGAAATTAATAGTACAATATCAATACAGATGGATTAATTATTAATTGATAACTGTCCATTAACCTTTTCTCAGTTTTACGGAGGAGAATTTGGGGGACAGTGTTATCAACATTTTGAGGAACATCATTAGTCATGAAATTTTAATGATGTTATCAATGATGAGGGGGAATTAATATGTATGAGACGGTTTATTATTCATTTAACCGAATGCGCAGTTATAAATTTTGTGAAATTTCATGAAAATGTCATTTTAATTAATTTAATTTAATTTTAATTTTAATGAGAGTCCATCGAGATTGAGGCAAAAATGATTCTAGAAATTCAATTTTTTAATTTAATTTGCGAAATTCAGAATTTTTTAGGACAATTGTATATCGATTAGATTTTCCGCGTTCCCTGAATTTTTTCAAAAATTCAAAAAATCTATTTAATATCTAATATTTCGATAACTAGATTTCCAGAAAATTCAGAAGCAATTGATTTCGGCAAAAATGTCCGTAAGTCAGTCCTGAGAATTAAGACGATAATTTGTCCCGTGCATTGCGCGTTATTTGAATTGATCAAACGATCGATTGGATTTGGATCACTCGCCGAAGATTAGCTTCCACTCACCAAATATCCAATTACGTAATTGCATCCCTTTGATTAAACTGTTTATCAAACAGGACCAATCACCATCCGTTTGAATAATTACCGCGGTACAGTTTTCAATACGTAACAATTTCAAACTGACGAATATGACGGTCCGATGACGTATAAAACCCGAAATTTTCCTGGCAAATGAAATAATGGAATGTCATAATTAATTAATCAATCACACGAATGACTCGGGATTTTTCCTGAACTGAAATTCCCATTTCTCTGAGTACATGCTCAAACGAATT